CACCCCTTGGGTATAGTCGTTCCTTTCTTCAGCTCTTTGTACTGCTTCAAGAACTCTCTGAAGGGCTGGTTTTGTGGACATGAATTCTTTTAGCCAATTTATGTCATGGAAGATTTTTCTTTCCCCTTTGGCTATAATAGACATTTTTAGCTGGGTAATATCTAAAGGGTTTTCCTTTATACATGGCCTGTTTTTCTTTTGAAGCTTTCAGTATTGTCTCTTTGTTCTGAACACTTAGAGTTTTTACTACGATGTGCCATGGAGAGTTTCTTTTCTGGTCCTGTCTATTTAGTGTTCTATATGCTTCTTGTATTTGTATGGGCATGTCTTTTTTTCATTTTGGGAAATTTTCTTCTACAATCCCCCCTGTTGAAGATCTGTTCCATACCATTATCTTGAGCTTCTCCTTCCTGTATGCCTATGATTTTTAACTTTGGTTGTTTTATGGTGTCACACAATTCTTGAATACTCCATTCTTGTGTTTTTTTAACGTTTTTCATAATCTTTGCTTCAGTGGTCTAATTCGTCCACTTTATCTTCCAGTCTTCATATTCTGTTTTCCATTTCATTCATCCTATTGGTGAGGCTTTCTCCTGTTGTTTCTAATTGGTTACTGAGTGTTTCACTTCCTTCCTCATTTCAGCCTGAGTATTCATCAATATTTCTAACTCTTTTCTGAATTCATTCAGAAGTTTATCCCTATCTTCTTTTAGTTCTTTGATTTGTGTGTTCTTTAAATACATTGAATTCTTTTATCAAGTCAGATAAGAATCAGATGTGCTCAGGCTTCATCCTAAGGCTGGATCCCTCTAGTCTGCAGGAACAGTACAATCACTGTACTCCTCTAGAGGACTATTGGTACTTGGTGGGGATATATTATTTTGGTTTTTCGTGTTATTATTTTTCCTTTGTGACTTTGACGTGTGAATTTCATTCATAGTTTCTGATTCTTATGTGAGACTCAAGCCTTCCTTTGCTGAGTTTAGATCTGCTTCTTTTTGTGAACTTTATGTGCCTTTGTGGTTTACCTGGTGGGCATGAAAAGCTAGTTTGTCTAGGTTTCAGGTTCTCTCTTTTGATTTTATATTGGAGTGGCTGATTGCTTTTGTCTTCAGGAGTTCCCACAGAGGCCCAACTGAGATGAGGCTCAGATGATATCAGGCTTTCTCCTAATGCATGGGTCCCTCCAGGAAAGATGCTGCCCTCAAGAATTTGGGGCCTGGGCTGGCCTAGGAGAAGGACCAAGGATAGATAGATGCTGGTCTCAGGAAGCTGGAGGCTGTGCAGCCCAGGGAGCAAAGGGATATGAGGGCAGGACCTGGTCGAAAGGGCTCCTGGGGATGGTAGGGAGGAATTGGGTCGGTCCGGATGCAGAGTATCAGGAAGCAGTGGTGGCTCTGGGCCAAGAGGTTGGCCCCGGTGTCTGGGGTGCCAAGACAAGAAATGGGCCTGTACCCAGCCTAGGAGGAGAGACTTGGTGGGAGGAGCTGGGAGAGTGGAAAGGCTGGGGGAGTCAAGGCACCCTGGGGATGCTGGACTTACCCAGGGAAGGTGCTGGTACCAGGACACTGGAGGCTGTGCAGCCCAGGAAGCAAAGGGATATGAGGGCAGGACCTGGTCCAGAGGGCTCTTGGGGACCAGGAAAGGTGCTGGCACCAGGCCACCCAGAGGCTGTGCAGCCCAGGGAAGTAAAGAGAGGTACCCATCTATTCTTTTTAGGTCTTGTCTGTTCTTAGTTTTCCAAGGCTATCAGGTATGTCATTAATTTATTTATATGAGATGTTTCTGATTATCCAGTGTAGGCACTTAATGCTATAAATTTTCCTCTTAGGACTGCCTTCATTGTATCCCAAAGGTTTCCCCAAAGGTTTCGATATGCTGTGTTTTCATTTTTTTCTCCAAATATTTTATTTATTATTTTTCATGTATATGAGTTTATTGTCTGCATGTAGGTAAGTGCACCTGTGTTGTGCAATGCTGGTGGGGGACAGAAGAGGCCGTTGGATCCCCTGGAACTGGAGTTACAAACAGTTGTTAGCTGCCATGTGGATGTTGGGATTGGAACAGGGGTCTTCTGCAAGAACAACCAGTGTTCGTAACTGCTGAGCCATCTCTCCAGCCCTATGTGTTTTCATTTACATTTAATTAAAAAAGATTTGGGGGGCTGGAGAGATAGCTCAGTGGTTAAGAGCACTGACTGCTCTTGCAGAGGACCCAGGTTCAATTCCCAGCACCCATATGACAGCTAAGAACCATCCTTAACTCCAGTTCCAGGGGAATCCAAAGCCCTCTTCTGATCTCCACAGCATTGCATGACACAGGTGCACTCACATACATGCAGGCAACACACTCATACATGTAAGAAAAATAATAAATATATTTTTTAATTAAGAAAAAAAGGGTTTTTTGAGGGTCTGGAGAGATGGCTCATCAATAAAGAGCACTGTCAACTCTTGCAGAGGACCTGGGTTTGAATTCAAGCACCCACATGGTGGCTAACAACCATCTGTAACTTCATTTCCAGGGGAATCCAACACCCTCTTCTGTCCTTCATGGGCACTACAGGACATGGGTACACTTATATACATGAAGGCATAACACTGATATGCTTAATAAAAATAAATAAAAATTTATTTCCTTCTTGATTTTTCCCATGATCCAATTTTTGTTCAGTAATGTATGGTTTTGCTTCCATGAGTTTGTGTAATTTTCCCATTTTTATTGTTGATATCTAGCTTTATTCCTTTGTGGTCACATAGGCTACAAGATTATATTTCAGTTTTCATAAATTTGCGGAGATTTGCTTTGTGTCCTAATATGGTCAATTTTGGAGAAAGTTCCATGGGCTGCTGAGAAGAAAGTATATACTTTGGTGTTTAGGTGGAATGTTCCGTAGATGTTTATAAGGTTATTTGATTTATGGTGTCATTTAACACCAGGGTTTCTCTGTTTAGTTTTTGTCTTGGTGACCTGTCTATTGGTGACAGCAGAGTATGGAAGTTACCTACTATCACTGTGGTGGAGTCAATGTGAGATTTTAGAGATAATAAAGTTTCTTTCATGAAATTGGATACCCCTCTGTGAGGTGCATACATGTTTAGGATTGTAATTTCTTCTTGGGTGATTTTTTTTTTCCTTTAATGAGTATGAAGTTACCTTCCTTGTCTCTTCTAATCATTTATAGTTTGAAGTTTATTTTGTCAGATATTAGAATAGTTCAACCTGCTTATATCTTAGTTCCATTTGCTTAGAATATCTTTTTCCGTCCTTTTACCCTAAGGTGGTGTCGATCATTGTTGGTGAGCTGTGTTTCTGGAGGCAGGAAATTGATTCTGTTTTCTAATCCAATTGGTTAGATTGAGGGTTATTGTTGACCAATGTTTATTAGTTCATGTTATGTTGGTGTTGTAGTGCTATTTTCTTAAACCTCTTTTGGTTGACTGCTCTGGGATAATTTATTTATTCTTTGTCCCCCCGCTTGAGCGTGCTGTGCTGGATAGCTTTAGTGTCAACTTGACACACCTGGGTTGAGGGAGCCTCAATTGGGGGATTTCCTCTATTGGGCTGGCCAGTGGCCATGTCTGAGGGGCATCTTCTTGATGAGTGATATGGGAGGGCCCAGCCCACTGTGGGTGGTGCCACCCCAGGAAGGTGATCCTGTATTATACAAGAAAGCAGGCTGAGCAGGGGCCAGGAGAGCAAGCCAGTAAGCAACGTTCCTCCATGGCCTGTGCTCCAGCTCCTGCCTCCAGGTTCCTGCCCTGAGTTCCTACCTTGGGCTCCCTGATGAACTGTGACCTGGGAGGTGTAAGACAAATAAACCCTTTCCTCCCCAAGTTGGTATTGGTCAGAATATTTTGTCACAGCAATGAAGAAACAAACCAGGACACCTGCTTAATTTTTCTGACTGAAGCATTCCATTCAGTATTCTCTAAAGAGCTGGTTTTGTGGACATAAATTACTTAAGCCTGTTTTTAATCATGGAAAGTTTTTCTGTCTCCTTCAATTACAACTGATAGTTTTGCTGGGTATAGTTGTGTGGTCTGGAATCTGTTCTTTCATGACTTGCATGGCATTGGTCCATACCTTTCTGGCTCTCATTGTCTCCATTGAGAACTCAGCTGTTACTATATGAGCCTGCCTTTATATGTGGCTTGATCTTTCTCATAGCTTTCAATATATTTTCTTTGTTCTATACATTTCATATTTTGACTATTATATGATATGGGGAGTTTCTTTTCTGGTCCTGTCTACTTGATGATCTGTATGCCTCTTGTACCTTGATAGGCTTCTGTTTCCCTAAATTTAGGAAATTTTCTTCTATGATTTTATTGAAAATATTTTCTGTACCTTTGATCTGGGTTTCTTCTCCTTCCTCTATGCCTGATTTTTAGGTTTCGTCATTTTTTTAAATGTGTATGAGTGTATTCTCTGCATGTATGTAAGTGCACCCATGCCCTTCAGTGCCCACAGAAATCAGAAGAGGGCATTGGATCCTCTGGAACTGGAGTTCTAGATGGTTCTTAGCCACCATGTGGGTGCTGAGAAGCAAACCTAGGTCCTTTGCAAGAGCAGCCAGTGAGCTATCTCTTCAGCCCCTAGGTTTGATCTTTTTACAGTGTCCCAGAGATCTTGCATATTGTTTCTGGGTTGTTTTAGGTTTAATATTGTCTTTGATAGAGCAATCCACTTCTCCAAGCTTGTCTTCAAAGTCGGATGCCCTCTGCTCCATTCCCTCTGCTTCCTTTTTGCTTCTTTTCTCTAAGCTTTTTGTTTGAGTTCCTGGGTTTTTGTTTTTTTTTCCGAGGTTTCAGATTCATTTTTCTTTAGAGATTCTTTTTATTGAATTATAGTTTCATGTTTTGAATTGTTTTTGTTATTTCATTCAGCTGTTTCCATGGTCTTCATTCAGTTTTTATTCATATCCTCTCGGAATTCCTTGAGTATAATTGTAATTGCTATTTTATTGTCTTGTGCATCCACTTGGTTGTCATCCTCAGGAAACACTGTTATAGGATTGCTAGTTTCTGTGGTAGCTATATTATCTTGGTTATTCATGTTGTTTGTGTTTTTTCACTGAGACCTGGGCATCTGGACTTGTGTGGTGGTGTTTCTTGGTGGTGTTTGCATCTTGTTTGTTGCTTTCCAAACTTGTCAGGTTGTGGAGAACCAGGTTTGGCTGAGAGCTGAGATGATGGAGAATGACTCACTCTGTGAAGACTCTGTTTTCTTATTCCGTTTTTTTCTGAGTTGAAAAAAGAAACACACTGTATTAATTACTTTTTGTTGTTATGAGAAAACACCATGACCAAAAGCAATTTATGGAAGAAAGAGTTTATTTTGGATTCTGTTTCCAAAGGGGGAGTCCATAATGATAGAGGAAGCATGGCAGCAAATGACAGGCATGGTGGTGGAACAGGAAGCTGAGAGATCACATCTTTATCCACACAGAGGAAGCAGAGAGAGAAGTAGAAGTTGGACGAGATCATAAAGTGTCAAAACTCTGTCTCTGGTGACCTACTTTCCCCAGCAAAGGTGGACTTGCTTTGGGAAGAGACAGCTCATTACCAAGAGTCTTTCAGACTTCAGTCCCTGACTTGTTTTTAGTCATATCTTCTTTATTTCTTGTTTTTGTTTTGGGGGTTTTAAATTTTTTGAAAATGTATTTTTATGTGCATGAGTCTTTTGCCTGCTGTATCATGCAATGCCTGTAGAGGGCAGATGATGGTGCCAGATATCCTGAAACAGATGATTGTTAACCATCATGTGGGTGCTGGGAACCAAACCTGGGTCCTCTACAAGAGCAGCCAGTGTTCTTAACCACTGAGCCATCTCTACAACCCCATTTGTTTTTTTAGACAGGGTCTTGTGTCTTGTTATGTAGGTAGGCATGGAACTCACTATGTAGCCCAGACTGACCTTGAACTCAATGTTCCTACTTCAGGGCTGGGATCACAGAATTGGGTCATTATATTCAACCACATTTTCTTGATATATGATTCATTCCACAGGACATTTCACAATAAAGCAGCTTGCTTCGCCGAAGTCAAAAAGCCTAGCCTTTTATAAGATTTAAATGTGAGGGTGCCCTGAAGGTCACCTGAAGGTCTCGAACATAGAAAAGAAACCAAGGCATACTTGGACATTATATGAATTGGTTTTGCCCACTGGAGTCATCAGTAAATTTTATATGGTTTATAAGTTTACTTTCTTAGCCTTTGCTGTGTTCTAAATTGATTTTTTAGTTATTACTGTGGGGGTGCAAGATATCTGGGTGAGGGGTTATGGTGCATGTGTGGAGGTTAGAGGTTAAGTTGAAGTCAGTTCTCTCCTTCCACCTTTACATGGGTTCTGGGGATCAAACTCCAGTTGCCAGGCTTGCAAGGCAAGTGCCTTTACTACTGAGCCCTCTTACCAGCCCCTAAACTGATTTTTAAAAAATATTTTATTTTATTTTTCTTTAACTTTTTCAAAAACTTTACTGAGAATTTCATACATGCGTATAAGGTGTTTTGATCAAATCCATGCCCACTCCCTCCCTTCCAGCACCTCCCATATCTCCCCATCACTTTTTTCTTTTTCTTTTCTTCTTTCATTTATTTATTTTTATGGGGCTTTTGGGTACTCTAACATTCCCCCCCCCGAAGAGTTAACTCTAAAATCTTTTAAAGATTAGATACAAGCTCCCAAATATTTTTGACATTTTTGGCCTTTGGAACAGAGTATGTTGCTAACAGGCCAAAGGACATTTTGACTTTTAGCCAAGAAACTGGCTACTTTTCTTTGGGGTCTTTTTATCCTAACTGCCTAGCCAATTCCTACCTCCTATTCTTATCACATCATCCTCTGAAGGTATTACCCAAATTGCCAATAGGGAATAAGGACGCATGCCGCTCTGGCTTCTTCCATGCTGAACAAGGATGCAGGGTGAGGCAATTGGAGTACCCCTTCAGTGGGTCTATCTAAAACACTCCCAAATTGTATAACTCTTGTCTCTTAAGGGGAAAAGAAAGTCCTTGAATCATGAATAGGAACTGTGAAGGAGAAGAAAGGCAAGAGTAATTAGCATTACAAGTTCTAGAGAGGGAATTAGAAAAAAGTCAGAACAGGGCAGTTTTCAAATGTTCATGAGAGTCCACTGGAATTTCTTGACAAGGGCTTCCAAAAGCATCCCTCCATTGGGTTCTTCCTCATTTTTCTTTTGTCTTCCAAGCTGGACTCTAGAGTGATGGATTCATGATTTGCTTTCAAATTTTGATATTTGAAAATAGGTATTTTGATAGCTATTGGAGTAAATATTTTATTATTTTTATTTTATTTTGTGTACGAGTGCATTGCCTGTATGTATTGTACAACCCATGTTGTATAATGCCTGCAAAGGTCAGAAGAGAGTGTCAGATTCCCCTGGTACTGGAGTTACAAATGTTTTATATCCATGGTATGGGTGCTGGGAATCAAACTCAAGTCCTCTGTAAGAGAAGCCTGTGCTCTTAACCACTGTATCATCTCTCTAGCCCCTTTATTTTTTAAAATTAAACTTCTCTGTAACATCGAGGATAGATGAGTCCCCTTTATCAAAACAGCTAATCCCATTCCCACTGGGAAGTCGCGGAAAGAAGGCCACATTGTCTTTGTTCGAACTCATCATCTGTAGAGTTCATGGCAATTGTGTATTTGGACGTGCTACAAATCAACCAATTTTATCAATATATATATTTCCATGCACAACCATGTGAAGAAATTTTCTTGTTTTGTGTGCAGGATCCAAACGAAGACACAGAATGGAATGAAATTTTAAGAGATTTTGGCATTCTTCCTCCAAAAGAAGAACCGGAAGATGAAACCGAAGAAATGGTTTCGCATTCACAGAAGGAAGCCATGGGTACAGTTGTGTTGGGGGCGCTAAATGAAGAAGACGGTACAGCTGAGATAGCGAAGACATATTTCACGGACACAGGAGAGGACTGTTAGATGCCCATCCCTGAAATAACTAATTCACATGTTGAAGTCATGTGTTAGTTAGTAACACATACTATGTGACACATACTATGTTAGTTAGTGACACATACTATGAAACCTAATTAAGATTTCTTCTTTTTCCATCTCCCTCTACTTTGAGATTGCCTTTCTGTCCATTCTAAATGTTATTTATTTTCAGACTTCCAGATACTTGGAAACCTAAACGTGTGGGATCTACTTGATTTTTCCCATGTACTTTTGCATGTAGCCTGTCAGTTCTGTGGACTTTGAGGGAGTTGCAAAATACTACTGTTAGAGTTTCTGTAATCTGTAAACTATGTTTTGGCTAATTCCTATAAGTTTTCTTAAATGCAATGGAGACATCTGATCTCCATTATCTAAGATCTTGGTTTTCTAGATATTAGCTATAAGTAAAAATGTTTAAGGAACTTGATTTTCTATAATTTATGTTTTAGTTAAACCATATGAGAAGATGAATCTTGCACAGTTGAAAGAAGCTGAAGATGAATTTGATGAAGAAGATATAAAAGCTATTGAAACGTATAGGTACAGTTTGAGATTATTAGGGGATTTTTGCATGAGAAATTGTCTGACAGTCTCATTAAGGATCTTCTATATTGAACAACTTGTTTTCCCTTACTGCTTGCAAGATTCTGACTTAGTCTTTTGACTATTTGATTCTGGTGTGTCACCACATGGGTATCTTAAAAGATCTACTTGACGTTTGCGTGATATATTAGATCTTAAATTCTCATCTTTAAACAAATTTGCAAAGTTTTCAGCCATTTCTGAAACTATTCTTTTCAGCTTCTTTTTCTCTGTTTTCTGCTTTGGGGACGCCCATACTGTGTGTGTTGATCTCCTGGATAGTGACCCACAAGCCCTTTAGTCTCTGTTTACTTTCTTACATTGTTTTAATCTGTGCTTCAGACTTAATAACAGTTATAGCTCTGACTTTGAATTCTCTGATTCTTTCTTTTGCATGCTGTAAAGCTCTCCAGTACATTTTTCATTTTTGTCACTTTACTTTTCAGTTCCACTGGAGTATCTTTACTCACAAAGCAATAATATGAAATGTATAGGATTTTCTGTGTACTCGAACCAATTTTCCAAATTTTCAGACACTAACTGGATATTCAGTTTAATTCTGAGTCTAACACCTCGAGATCACTTCATGACCGCCAGGGCAATTATAACACAAAAATAACAAAAGTGTTGTGGAGAAGTTAGAATGTTGTCAGAGCTGATGTGAATGCAAAATAGTACAGTTGCTTTGAAAACATTCTGGTATCCTTAAAAAGTTAAACATAGACTTATCATATGATCAGGTCATTCAACTTCTGGGTATACAGCCAAGAAAATTAAAAGCAGAAACTGTGGAATATTTACAGCAATTTTATTCACAATAGCCAGAAAGCATAAACAGCTTGAATACCATCAGCTAATGAGTAGATAACCTAAAGTGACACATGAGTACAATAGAAAATTAGTTGGCCATAAAATGAAATGAACTACCAAAAGGGAAAAAAAAGCCAGTCACAAGATGCCATATAAATGGAAAGCAAATTATTGGATACCAGATCTTGGAATGAGCAAACGAGGAGTAACTGTAAGCACATTCAGAATTTAGTCATCAGACAGTTTTTGATCATATTGTGGTGATGGTTCCTCAACTTTTTGGTCCATCTTCTACATCTCTCTTGAGCAGCTCTTTTTCAGGCAGTGACTATGGCCTGAGTACTTTTCATCATCTTAGAATTCTGTACCTCTTTCCACATGAGTCAGGTGTCTAGGTAGAAGATCACACAGGACACGTCAGGAAAAAGTAACAGAGATGGATATAGCATGTTCACCCTTTCACTGGTTACAATACAGTCTCACAAAGAACCTGGCAAGTGCGGTCTTCCTGCAAGACCCAGAAGAAGAAACCTATAATGACACTTAGGTCTTAACCAGGCCTCAGGGCAAGAGAAAGAGGTGAAAAATAATTTTTAAGAAGAGACAAAATTCCATTTGCAGATGAATAGCTCAGAAATAACAAGTGATTCAAACTCAGAAGTTCCTATAGTTAAGAGGATGGAAAAGAAAAATCTCCATGTAGACATAAACACACCTGGAGTACATTTTTATGGCAGATATGTTAAGTTGGCTCCTTGGCATTTGTTCCTCTTTCTCTTGATATATGTTACTACAGAAACTAAAAACGAAACCTGCATTTCTCAGACTTTACCGCAGCAGGAATAACAAATGTGATTTAGGTTCTGTTGAGCACACAGGATATTTGGGTTCAAAAGGAGCTAAAATGAGTGGAGAAAGCACTGGTGGTATCCAAAGCATCCACCTCCCTGGTCCTAACCTAGAATTTTTGTCATCATTTTGGAGCTATTGTTCTGGTAACACAATTGTTCTGGTAACACATTGTTCCTCAGGAGATTGGTTCCTAGAGACAACAGTTGCTATTGTGCCTTTCTGAGGCTCAGGGTAATTTAATACAATTGGAACAGCAGTTCCAGATTCCTGTTTCTAGATTGTAGCAGAGAAAGCCTTGGTGGACCAGTTTTGCAGTGTTCTGGGAGTCACTCCTGATTGCCCAGTCTAAAGCCTACTCCTTCCGCCTTTCCAGCAAGTTTGCAAAGCAGTTAATTCCTGGATTAAGTTCCTTTCTGCTTAAAATAGCTAGAGGGCTTTCTGTATATGTATGTGAATCACAATAGATATGATTGTTATGTGAAAAAATGCAGGCCACTGAGTACTATGTGACTTCCTGATGGCAAGGCTAATCCATGTGTTCACTTTTCTCTTTCTCCCCTGCCCAATTCCAATGAAACAAGGGAAAATGAGGAGGGAAGAGGAGGAGTTAATTGCTATACCACTAAACAGGTCATCCACCATTATTTGAGCCAGAACAGAACACACCAAAATTTCTGCATAAGCTTGGGAGATCAAACTGGGGGAAGTCAATGATCTTGTAGTGACTATTCAGTGCAAACAAAGGGGTTCCTCCAAAAATTTGTGAAAGCTCTAAGTTGTATCTCTTGCCGGGAGAGGGAAAATGGTTAGACTTCAATTTGAAAACCATGAGAGGATGGACTCAGCCCTGCTTTATTATTCTCTTTGGGCTTCATTTTGCTTGGATTGGTTGTTTTCACCTGACATACTCCTGACATGTGAAATGAGGCCAGAGTGTTCTGCAGTGTACTAGGGAGCTTTTGTTTGTTTCTGTTCGAGTACGATCAGATGATTGCCATTGAAAGGATAGTTACAATAGTCAAGAGGAGTCAATAGGGAAGCACCCGAACAGGTCAGGAGTCAGAAGGGGCAAGGGGAAAACCTCAGAACCCTCTGTTGTGATTTTTGTGCATAAGGACATGCATCCTAGGGCACGCAGGCTTATGACTGACTAGGTTGACTCATTTCAGTGGGCTCCAGGTTGGAGCTGTTGCTAGTTATCTGGTACCAGGCTCTGGGGTGACAAGGGGCGGGGAGAGAGAGAGATGGGGGGAGAGGGGGGAAAGGAAACAAAGAGACAAAGGGAAGAAAGAAAGTAAGAAAGAAGGAAAGAAAGAAAGAAAGAAAGAAAGAAAGAAAGAAAGAAAGGAGGGAGGGAGGGAAGTAGAGGAAGAAAAAGGTGATGAGCCTAGCATGGTGGTGCATGCTCAGAGTCCCAGACACTTGGGAGGCTGAGGTTGGAGGATTACTCCTACGTAGGACTTTGAGACCAACCTAGGCAATATAGCCAGAACTTGTATCAGAGAGAGAGAGAGAGAGAGAGAGAGAGAGAGAGAGAGAGAGATCCTACATAGGGTATTGTGGTGGTTTGAATGAGAATGTCCCCCGTAGGCCCCAAGTATTTGTCCCCAGTTGGTGTTGCTGATTTAGGAGGTCTTAGAAGGTGTGGGGCCATGCTGGAGCAAACACATTACTTAAAGGGTTCTTAAGCCTTGCCAGATCTCCAGTTGTTCTCTGCTTCCTATTCCTGCTTGAAGACGTGATCCTCTGCTTCTGCTCCTCCTGCCACCCCTGCTGCTTGCCTCCCACCATGATGGACTCTTGCCTCTTTGGAACCATAAGCTAAATAAGCTCTTTCTTTTATAAGTTCCCTTGGACATGGTGTTTCTATCATGGCAACAGAAAAGTAACTAAGTAAAAAAGTAAGACAGAAATCTGTATTAGTCAGTGTTCTCTAAAGAAACAGAATCAGTAAAATGACTATGGATAAATATGGATAAAAATGTATTTATTATATTAGCTTACAAGATAGAGTTCAAGTAGTCCAACAATGGCTGCACCACACTGGAGAGGTTGAGAATCTGGTAGTTTCTCAGTTCAAAAGGCTGAATGTCTCAGTATTCCCAATCTGGTGCTGAAGGCCTAATGGATCCTGGGATAGCTGTTAGCCTTTGGTCTATATTGGAATCTGAAGAAGTTAGTCACAGCAGCTACCAGTGAGAGAGAAGGCAAGGGGCAAAATGCAAGAGCTCCCTTCTGCCATGGCCCTTATAGAGCTGCCATCAGAAGGTAACACCCACATTTAGGGTGGGTATTCCAGCTTCAAATGGTTCAAATGGTTCAATCAAGAAGGTCTCTCTCATTTCAGTTAATACCAAATCCAGTCAAGCTGACACCCAGTATTACCCATCACAAGTATGCTCTCTGATTTGGTTGGCTTGCATTAAAGAATGTGCTGTCTGGCAAGTGTTTGTTCTTTTGCAGAATTAGGTAGTCCTAGAATAAGTATTCCCCAGAGGATCAGCAAGGCTCTAGCTACCAGAACATTAAGAATACAGAAAATGAGGGCTGGTGATGTGACTCAGCAGGTAACGGTGCTTGCCAAGCCTGAAGACCTGAGTTTGTTCCCCAGGGCCCACATGGTGGAAGGAAAGAATTGACGCCTGCAAGTTGTCCTCTAACCTCCACACATGTGCCTTGGTGTGTGTGTGCGTGTGTGTGTGTTACACACACACACACATACACAACATTAAAAAAAAAGAATATAAAAATGAGAAGATGGAGTTAATATATAGAGAAACAAGAGAGGTCCCCCCCAGCAAACTTAAATACAGAAACTTAAAGATGTATCATAAAGGATGCTTCATAAATCCAAGCATTCAGCAGCTTTGTTATCAAAGTATGTGATGTTATCAAAGTTTTAGTTACTAACAAAGGTTTACTGTCCTTTATGGATGAATAAATAATAATTTATCAAATTCCTTGGGTGCCACATACCTTGCTGAGAAATTTACCTGTTGTATTACTTTTCTCATCGCTGTGACCAAATACCTGACAAAAGGAAATTTAGGAAGGGAGGGTTTATTTTTGGCTCACAGTTTGAGGTTACAGTCTATCATGGTGGCAGGAAGACGTGGTACTAGGGAGATGAAGGTTAGTGCTCAGTTTGGTTTCCCCATTGTAATCAGTTCAGGACCCCAACCCATGGATTGGTGCCACCCACATTCAGAACAGGCTTTCCCTCCTCAATCTAGCCTCTCTGAAAATGCTCCCCACGGAAATGCTCCCCACACACATACCCAGAGGCGAGCAAGACTCATAGGTATTCCAATTGCAGTCAGTTTCAGTTTGACAATAAAGATGAATATCACACAGGTATTACCTCACTTAATCCCCAGCAATCCTATGTGATTAAGTACTAGAATTTTCCCTATGTACTATTGGGAAAACAAAAACTGGAGAAGTTAAATAACTTGCCCAAGCCCATGTGACTAGAAGGTATTGGACTGGCATAAAACCCCGTTTAGTCTGGCCCTGGAGTTTAGATTTTTTTTAGTTATTTTATGTGTATGAGTTTTTTGGCTGCATGTATGTAAGTGCATTACATGTGTGCCTGGTGCTTTCAGAAGCCAAAAGAGTATGTAGGATCCCTTGGAACTGAAGTTACAGATGGTTGTTAGCTGCCATGTGGGTACTGGGAATTGAACCCAGGTCCTCTGCAAGAGCAAATAATGCTCTTAACCCCTGAGCTATCTCTCCAGCCCTTTGAGTTCAAAGTCTTAATCACCCTCCTTTGCTACCTCTACCTGTATATAAATGTATGCTTACAACAAACAATTCTAAGTGTTCACAAAGGCTTTGGACTGGACAAGAATTCACTATATTATAAACATATAAATGGGGTGAACAATAGCACTGATTTCATTAAGATTTTGCAAGGACTACATTAATGAATGTGCTTAAAACAGTGCTGCAACACAGCAAGCACACAAAAATGTTAGCTGCTAATATACCTAAAGACATTCTCTTATGAAACATTTTACTGGTACATGAATATTTGCTGGCCCAATGCTTAATCTAGTCTTAAATAAAAATGAATTCAAAAGTCAGTAGTAAACTTCTTTTCAAAATATTATTTTTATTTTGTGTGTATATTGCCTACATGTGTGTAAGTGCACCCATGTCATGCAATGCCCACAGAGGTCAGAAAAGGGTATTGTATCCCCTGGAACTGGAGCTAAGGATGATTGTTAGCTACCATGTGGGTTCTGGGAACTGAGCCCAGGTCCTCTGCAAGGGGAGCCAATGCTCTTATCTGATGAGCCATGTGTCCAGCCCTTATAGGAAACTTATACTTGGTAATGCAATAATACAGAACTCTTAGATAAGAGAGGAATGACCTCATAATCATTAGTGGTTATTCCATCATTTACAGTGTTTGATGTCTATGGACAGCTATCTGTTGCTCTAAATTATTACTGGATATTGATTGGCCTTAATAAAGTGACACTTATGTAACTTTTTCTTATTAGAGAAAAACGATTACAGGAATGGAAAGCACTTAGGAAGAAACAAAAATTTGGGGAACTGAGAGAAATTTCTGGAAATCAGTATGTGAATGAAGTCACAAATGCAGAAAAAGATTTGTGGGTTATAATTCATCTATACAGATCAAGGTAACTAACATAGTATTAAAAAATATTCATGTCCTAATGCTATAAGAGACATTTCTGGGGCCAGGTGTGGTGTGGCACACCCAGCACTCAGAAGGCAGAAATAGGCCAGCCTGGTTTACATAGTAAGTTCCAGGCTGGCTGGGGCTAGGGTCTATAATCCTTATGAGAAAGCATATTTAAGAAAAACATGTATATTACACATACACATATGTAGAGAGTTTTTGATAGTTGTTGGCTTTAGGCGTTAAAGTAGAATGTTTTCTAGTTTGAAGAATGTCACATTTGTTAGAAAAATAAGCACTGTTTGGTACGTAAAACTTTTTATTATGAAAAATTTCAAAACTTTAGAAAAACAGAATAAACACCCTAAATATCTCTTCCCCCCAAATTAACAGTAATTCCTAATAGTATCTAATACTCTTTACTCAAAATTTCTTAATTTCAAGATATCTTTAATAAACATATACTTTTGAACAAGAATCTACTCAAAGATCAGACAGTACATAAAGATACTTCATGTCACTTAAAGCCCTTTTTTCCTTTTATTCATTTTTTAGTCTGCATACAAATCAATGGATTACATTATATATTTTCATACACATATCATTGTACTTTGCTCAGATTTGTGGATCCCCACTCTCCTCCCTTTTAAGGTAGGCAGAATTTTCTTTTATAGAATATTCTCCAGCACTTCCCCATTTCTCCAAGTTAAAAAAATTTTTTGAGGCAGACCCTCAACAGTTTGTTTTAAAGTGTCCAGTTGTGCTAATTATGACCCAAATCACCCTAGACCTCAGTAGTCTAGTATAGTGATATGGTCTCTACCTTTAGATCCAGACTCTATTCCTCAGGGCTGCAAATCTTTCCATGGCACAAGCCATGATGGCGGCAGCTTTACTGCCTTATTGTCATCTCACTTTTTTCTTCTCTTAAAAAAAGATTTATTTTCATGTGTTTGACTGTTTTGCCTGCACATAAGTATGTGTGTCATATGTGTGCCTGGTATCTGTAGAGACCAGAAAAGGGCATCAGATCCTCCAGAACTGGAGCCTCCATGTGGGTGCTGAGAATCAAACTCAGGTCCTTGGCCAGAGTATCAAGTGCTCTTAACTGCTAAGCCATCTCTAATAACTCCTCAGTTTCTTCTTTTTTTTCAGGTTCTTAGGGAAATTCAAAGCAATATGTAAATGACAACATTGTGATTTACCTTGCAGTTCATCAATTTCTTAAATTCTGAGAGAATAATATACTCCAAAAAAGAAAACATTACTTCTATAATAACTAAAACCACTGGAAGATGAAATTTAAGTAGTTTTACAGACATAAAGAAAATCACCTTCTTGGGGATTGCAGAGATGATTCTGTGGTTAAGAGCACTGGCTTCTCTTGCAGGGGACCCAGGTTCAGTTCCCAGCACCCACATGATGGCTAATAACTGTCCATAACTTCAGTTCCAGGGAATCTGATGCCCTCTTCTAACCTCCACAGGCATTGCATGACACAGGTACACTAACATACATGTAGGCAATACACTCATGCACATAAAATAAAAATAATAAATCAAATATATAACAAAAGAATGACCTTATCACATGTCATCTGTTTGGTCAAAGCAAAATGTAAGCACTCCTGGCAGTAGTTTTCACAAGTAAGGATGAGAAATACTTCTGTCTGTGACACTGGGACCTGTCTGTAGTGAATGTTACGTACTGAGAGAGCTTGCTAAATGTCTGTCCTGACTCTTTGTGACTGACAGAATAAATACTACTTCTGAAAGTTTACGCTCTGGTAAGAAAATAATTTACTCCAATAGTTATTTCTGGCTGGATACAAGTTTTGGGAACTAACTTGCAAAAATTCATAACAGTGAATGTTTTATGTGTTTTAGTTGACTTCTAGTTGCTAGGTGCAACTATATTCTCAAAGAGTAAGGATATAGTTTCATAATTTTTTAAGCATTTATGACTTTCTAAAGAGTTGTGTGTGTGCGTGCATGTGTGTATGTGTGTGCCAATCCAAGATAGTTACATAAAACACTAGTCTTCTTGACATAGATTTGGACCTGGAGGGTGTAGGTCAATGATAGAGCACTTGTGTAACATGAACAAGCCCCAGCACTGCCAACCAATAATAATAGCAAATAATAATAATGAAATTTTACATGAGAGAATATAACATGTTTTAAGAAAATTAATCTGAAATATTCAATTTTATAAAATATGTGAGAAGGTGTCCATTTGTGAGATGAGAACACAGGAGAGGAGAGATAGGCCAAAAACCAGCAGAGGCCACAGACACAGAATCAAGCAGAGGAGGGATAGGCTGGGAGGAAAAGGATAGACTGCTAAGAGCAGGTGTAATGGGAGTTTGGAAAAGTTGAAGAAGAATTGAAGGTTTGGGTCACAATTGGAATTGATTTTAAATTTCTAAGGAGAAACAATTCAGGAAAATGGAGTCCAGGATGTGGCACAGAGTGGGATTCCAAATCCTGTGGGTGAAATTTGTTAGGATTCAGGAAGTCAAAGTCTAAGATGAGGAACTCATGTCATTATGTGAGCTTGTGTGAAATTAGAACTGTGATTGTGGCAAGAGTCAGGATTCCTTTATTTTTGAATTGCAGCTGCCAAAGACTCCCCAGACATAGCCTGCTTTTTGGTTTGTGTTACTGGGCTTTTCCAACTAGGAACTGGCTTAAGATAAACTGATGTTAACACTTATTTTACCTAAATTAGGCAGTAGATTCCCAAAGTCCCAACTTCATTCCCAGATGATAGTGGTATTTCAAATTAAAACCAGAGTACTCTAATACAGTTCACCTTTGCTAAAAGTAGTAGCAGAGGATAACAATATGCTTTTATATAAAAATTAAAGATCTGTTTTTCAATGGAAAGGTTTCACAAGGGAGACCAAGGTAAGTAAATTTTTTTTCCAACATATTATGTGTACTCTCTCTCTTTTTTAGTGTCCCAATGTGCTTGTTGGTTAACCAGCATCTTAGTCTCATAGCAAGAAAGTTTCCAGAAACTAAATTTGTTAAAGCCATCGTGAATAGCTGCATTCAACACTACCATGACAATTGTTTACCAACAATTTTTGTTTATAAAAATGGTCAGATAGAAGGCAAATTCATTGGAATTATAGAATGTGGAGGGTTAAATCTCAAGCTAGAAGGTAATGATGTTATTTTTATATTTTTTTGAATTTATGTGCATTTCATACATCTTAATCAACTTTATACCCCCTCCCCCCATCTACACCCTCTTATAGCCCCCACCCCACTGGATTTCATGTCTTCTGTCACATATGTTAAGACTATCAAGTCAAGTTAGCGTACCCAGATGTCCCTCAGTGCAAGGTCACCCACTGGGGTCTAGTCAACCTATCTAGAGTCTCTCAAAGAAGATCAGCTCTCCCTCGCCCATCAGTAATTAACTGCTTTCAACACTACACAATCAGAAATTAATAGTTCTCTGGCTTATTTTGGGGCCTACTGCCCATTCCCCCAGTTCTATGCTAAAATAACATGAAAACTTCCATAGACTAACAAGTATCATGAAACTTTACTTCCTTGGAACAAACTTTTGTCCTTGCTTCTATATTCCTTTTAATTCACCAGATCAATTTTCCTGAAGTCATACTTATGTCATAATACATTTTGCTTAAAATCATTAATGGTTTTTTTGCTGTAAATTTCGAATCTTTTGTTTTGAATCCAGTCCTCCGCAACTCCATTTTTCAGTGGTGTGTAGTGAATGTCTGTTTTAACCAGATGGTTCTTAGTCACTACCCCAGACAGACCTCAGATAGACCTCACCTGTTTGTGTCCACACTTTGGAAAATACTCTTTCCTTTTACCTAGATTCCCTGCCTTTACTTATCCTTCCTGTCCAAACCCAGTTCTTATGGTTCTCCTCATCCATGGATCCTAGTCTGCATTCCTAGACTAATAATCTCTCTTACTGTTTCCTATTAAATTTCTATAGCACATATTCTCCATGTTATTTGTTCAGATGTCATCCTGGTTTTGTTGACTGATAATCCCCTGTGAGTGTCATGTCTGTAACAAGTACACAGACCAAGTCTTCTCTTGCTTTCTTTTCCACAGCACACAGCACAGGACCTTATAAATTAACATTATTTAATGATGTTTTACTTCCTAACATCATCCCCCTTTGGTTTTTCTTGTCTGTTTTCACCTATATTATGTAACTGAAAATCCTGTTTATGTTACCATTGTGTTACACAATTCAATGCCACTGGAACTCACAACATTGTGTTGTGGTAACTTTCCTACATCTCCCCAAATTTTGGCCTTGCATAGCAGAACCTCTGTACCCACTGAATAACTGCTATTCTATGCCCAATCGACTTTGTCTCTACAAACTTGACACCGCTGGACACCTCACATAAGGAGGATAACAGCATGTTTTTCTGTTTTCTGTTTTGTTTCCATCTCCAGCTCTCTTCATCTCTCCCTCAACATATCCTCCTCATGTCTTTTTTTTTCTTCTTTTTTGGATAACCCACTAAGTCCAGATTGTACTTTTCATACGTGTATAGGTATGGGGTCATTTGTTGGAACACAGAAAATCTACTAATTGCCAATCTCCCTCCCCTCTGGCAACTATCCACTGCCCATATAACTAACTCTTCAGTAAGGGGTAGGACCTGGAGATCATCTACCCCATCTATGCAAGAACTTTGTGCAGGCATCCACAGCTGCTGTGAGTTCATGAGTGTGATAGCCATGCCTTGTCCAGAAGACAGCAGTACACAGCACCCCTTCCCATGCCCTGGCTCTTATATTCTTTCTGCCTCCTCTTCCATGTTCCCTGAGCATTTGTGGCAGGGATTAATATGGATGTCCTGTTTAAGGCGGAGCACTCTCTTATTTGTAGTACTCTGAGTAGTTACGCACCTCTCCATTGACAGCTGTCCATTGCAAAAAGAAGCTACTCTGATCAAAGCCGAGAGCAGCCCAGGTCTATAGGTATGAACATAAGTATTCAGAAGGCAATTTGACAGGATGACCATTTAGCAAAATAGCAGATTCTACCCCAGGGCCTATGACTTTTCCATCTATGAACTTTTGACCATGAGACATGAAATTCCCTCCTGTAGAGCAGGTCTCAAATTCAATCAGAAAGCAGTTACTGTGTAACAGTCCTGCCACTATTGCACCAGTAGGCATAGGATACTGCAGCATATAGAGTCCAGTGCAGGGTAAGACATTGGTGTCTTTTGTTCCAGCAGCCGGAATAGTATGTTCTGGCACTATGAAAGCTTGCCAGCAGGGAAGACGTTTCCCACTCTGAGATTGCTTTCACTATGTCTTGCAGCCAAAGTGTCTGGTGTCTTCAACAACAGGGTCTTACTATGTCCTTGTCGTAACACAGGGCAATGGCAATAGCTGGGACCTATGGGGCATTCTGCACCGAGGAAGGTATCCCAAACTTTCCCTGCCTCAACAGATCCTGGTGAGGGCTCCCCAGGTCCCAACTTCCCTTGTCTGCCTATCACAAACACAGAAACAACAGGAAAACCCAAGACAAGTTGTCTCCTCCAAAAATTACTAATTCCATAATAATGAACCCCAATGAGAATGACCTTGAAGAACCTCCAACGAATAAGCGTGTTCAAACAACTGAAAGAACACATGAATATACTCCAAGAGAACAATTATTTCACTTTGTGAAACGAATACAAAATCTGAAGAGAAAAAAAATCAATGGAGAGAAATACTGAAGTCAAATTGAAATGATGCTGAAAATGAGCAACTCAGTAAGCGTCAGTGTAAAGCCACACAAATAGAAAGGATCATGTGGAAAACAGACTGTCAGGGCTGGATGACAAGGTAGAGGAATTGGGTTGCTCAGCAAAGGGCAGTGATACACACACACACACACACACACACACACACACACACACACACAAGTAAACCAAAGACTGGGTGAGAAGTCAAAGGAGTTCAGTAATAGGAGTTCATGAATGGAACATGGGAGAAGCATGAAGAGACCTAGCCTTCAGAGTAGAGGAAAATAAGGAGAATACCACCATACCAAAGGTGCAGAATACATCTTCAGTAAAACCATAGCAGAAAATTTTCCATATCTAGAGCAAAAGATGCCTACAGAATTCCAAGTAGAGAAAAAGATGCCTATCTAGGCGCACAAGGCCTACAGAACTTCAAATAGACAGGTCTAGAAAAGAAATCCCTGCAACTTTTATAGTTAAAACATTAAAAACACAGAGAGTAGTTTTAATTTTTTAAAGTTTAGGTCTTAAATAACATTGCTATGACATATTCCAAGAAACATATCTAACTTTATTCTCTGAAAAATGTACCTGTCCCAATGCTATGTACTAAAATTTCATTTCCCATTGCTTTTATGTCTTTTAAATTACCATAAAATAAAACTGCTTTTGGAATGAAGTCTTGCTCAAACTAGCCTTGAACTTATGATGCTCCTGCTTCAGCATCCCAAATACTAGGAGTATAGGCATGCGCTACCACATATGGCGGTTTCCTTTATTTTTGAGGCTAAATAATATTTTATTTGTATGATCCTCTAAATGGACAATTAGGTTGCTTCTGTCTTTGGTAAAGCAGCTATGACCGTGAGTATACAGACTCCTGGTGGAGTTTCTGTCTTCATTCTTCTGCCAATATACCCAGAACTGAAATTTCTAGATCATATTGCAATCTCATTTTAATTAATGTTTTCAGGAACTGTTTTCCATAATGGCTTACCATTTTACACTCTTCTTGACAGTGTACAGGGGTTTTGATGATTCTTTGGCCCTTCCTGTTAACAGTGGTTATATTTTTCTTATAATAGCCACCCAGATGGGTAGCATGTATTTTCTGGTTTATACTGGGTTTGCTATACTATCTAACATGCTTAAATTTCTGAGATCTCTACTGTGTTCTACAAGTCCTTTTGTTTATTACTGGATTAATATAGGACTTTAAATAGTATAACTTTATAATAATATAACTACTTCTAGTAACTTTTTTCAGAATTTCACGTAACTTGTAAACAGCCAAGTTCTATGAAAAATCCTGTACTCATTAGAATATTTATAGAACTGTTAAAGTGACATCTTAGTGGCTGTTGCCATTTTGATATTTTATGTTTAAATATATCACAAAATTTTCCTCAGAAATGTTCTGCTTATGTAGTAGTTAATAAATTTAACAAAATGGGGGCTGGAGAGATAGCTCGGTGGTTAACAGCACCAGCTTCCCTTGCAGAGAATCTGGGTTCCATGCCCAGCACCCACATGGTGACTAACAACTGTCGTAACTCCAGTTCCAGGGGATTCAAGACCCTCTTCTGACCTTGGGCATTGTACAACATGGGCACACATAAAATAAAAACAATAAATAAAACATTGAAAAATAAATGTAGCAAAATGATAGCTTTGAAGGAATAGGGCATTTTGAGGAATCAATTTACTTTTTGTAATTAGTAGATGTATTTTGGTAATTTATATTCATCTCACAGAGATTCTCCAATTAATTTTTAAAATACATTATATATATCCATAGTAGTTCTATGGCTTTTAAAATATTGAGAGTTTAAACTTTATGAATTACTCAGTTACCCACATCTTTACCAGAGCTTGGTACTGTTAAGAGGGTTTTTTGGTGTTTGTGTTCATCTGATACACAACAAATGATGGTATCCTGTCAGTTTGGTTATGGACCATGTGAAATTTTTAAAAAGTTGTACTATCCTTTAATTTTTTTGAGAATTTCATACATGAGTATTGTATTTACATAATTTCCACCCCTCCCATGTCACCCTACTCAATTTTGTCCACATTTTTATTATTGTTACATATACATACATACATCTATTAAAAATACATATATGCACATATATAATGCACTGGGACTATTTAGCAGTGCTTATGTGTACATGTGTTTAGGGCTGACCACTTTGTACTAGATAACACATCAGAGAGCTCGTTCCTGGAGAAAACTGCTGCTTCTTCCCTCAGTAAGTTTACAAAATTGATTGCCTATAGCTCATCATCTAAAGGTATGGAACCCTGTGAACTGGCATGTCCAGTGGTGTTGCCATTATACATGGACCATGTAAATTCTTTGTTACTTGATTTCTCTCCTTTTCTTGTACTTCTAAAATTTAGCTGTTAACCTCTGCAAACATCATGTTATTTTGCTGGCCATCCCTGTTGCTCTGTCTTATTTTTGCTACACTATTATCTTTATTACATCTGCTTTCCTTAGGTTTATTTACTCCCTCCTTCCCTCTCCCCCACCCTTGTTTTTTTTTTGGCCTAGAACTTTTGTCAGTCCTCCTAAATGCTGGGATTACAGCATGAGCCACCACACCTTTTTCTACGCTTCTTGATGCAAACTTTTTATTCTAAGATAAACATTTTACACATTTCTCCCTTTATTGTATCCAATGTATAGTCTCATAACACTGTCATTCAGTATTAGATATATTCTAACTTCTACAATTTTTACACATTTTTAACCTATTTACCTGTGGTGTTCATGTGAAAGTCAGAGAACAAACTTTAGGGGTCAGTTCTCTCCCACCATGTGTCCCAAGGATCAAACTCAGCCCATGTGAGGTGTGGCAGCGAGCAGTTACCTGCTGAACCACTCTGACAGCCTCAATTACCACATTAATTTTATCAGAGTCAACTTCTGTTTCATGTGGATGAGAAATTTATCTTCATTTGACAAAGATTTTTATCCAGTTCGATGATGGGTTTTTATGTATTGCAGAACTTGAATGGAAGCTATCCAAAGTTGGTGCAATACAGACCGACTTGGAAGAAAACCCCAAAAAAGGCATTGCAGATATGATGGCATCTTCAATTAGAAACATCTCCATTTATGACAGTGACAGCTCCAACAGTGACAATGATGGCAAGTAGGACTAGTTAATAAACAACTTTACAGTGTTGATATAGCCACTTTATTTACTATTGACTTTATCGTTAGAGCAGAAAATTTACATTTTATTTTCATTTTTACATGAGATTTATGGTCTACATGCCAATTCCGAAATTTTCAGGTATTTCAGAGTATTGTCCTTTGCAAACTGGTGATTTTACTCCTTAACATTTTTCTGTGACTTATTTTTTCTGACCCACGTTGGACAGAATCAACAAGTTCTCTGTGTTTCCTAATCACTTCCAAAGAGACCCATGAAAGGAAATAATGGAAGAGAACCAATAAAATTAAGTTTTAAGGCTTTGTTTGTGTGTTTATGTGTGTATGTATGGTGTATGTGTGGGCACTCATATGTTGCAGTTGTGCATGCCTGTGAATGTCCATGTGGATGCCAGAGGTCGATTTTGGGTGTCTTCCTCAACTGTGTTCCACCATAATTTTTGAGACAGGATCTCTCACTGAACTTAGAGCTCATGGATTGGCTAGGTTGGCTGACCAGTAAGCACCTTCCCCTGCCCCAATCCTGTCTCTGCTTTCTGCTTCTCAGTGTTGGGATTATAGGCACTTAACTCCTGCTGGGCTTTTAATGGGTGCTGGGGATGTGGATGAGGTCCTCTTGCTTGCACTTTACCCACGGGGCCCTCTCCCCAGCTCCTAAGTTGATACATTTAAAAGTCTGTTTGCTAAGAAAATCATGTTAGTGGACCAGCTAGCTAACTATATTGACTGATTCCTGAACTCCAGAAGAAATGGATGGATATTCCTATCTAGGACATAACCATTGTGGAAATGAAAGTAAGAGCCATATTATCATAAAGTTATAATGTAACTCCAATGCTATATAATGCATGTAGGTATGGATGTTATTTTCTCTTCCAGGTGAGATCAAATGCAAAAAACTTCTCCCTCAATGTAATCTTTTCTTTCATTTCTTATTTTAAAGTAGTTTTTAGCCAGACATGCACTTGGGAGGCACAATCTCTTATGAGATCGAGGACAGCCTGGTCTATGAAGCAAGTTCCAGATCAGCTGGGGCTACAGGGAGACCCTCTCTCAAAAAAAGAAACAAATAAAAAGTTATTCATTTATTTTTAAACTTAAAACTAATAGAATAGCTGAAATAAAAGGTACATATTTCTTTAATTCAGATCCAGCAAGAGACAGTAGTTAAGCTTTTACCATGAACATAGCTATGAAGACTGAAGAAACCATAGAAATCTAACGGACTGTGATTCCAGCCTCACTGTTCCACAAAGACTCATGCCTATGTGCAAAGGCCTCTACTACTTCATACACATTTGTCATTTAAGTAAGGTTTGAGATATTTGTCAGTTGGTGAGAAAATATGTGATATTCTCCATTTATTGAGTTATTTGATGGAGTTGAAATTGAAACTTGTTTTTAATTGCTAATATTTAATCATCTGACTTACAAAGTTTCATTCCCATATTTTTAACTGTACCTGAGAACAGTGTACTACTGAAACAACCTTCTTGCCTTCACAGCATCTTGCTCCACTGTGCTCCCAGCTAGCATTTCCAGGAAACCTGTTAGAAATGCATGATCTCTGGCCCTGCCCAAGACTGACTGGATTGGACTTTCATTTTAGTAAGATGCCCAGGTTATTGGCATGTGTATTAAAATTCCAGGAGCATAAGTGGCAAGCCCCTTAAAGTCAGCTTGAGCATGCTAACTTTGCCCCCAACTAAGTTAAGTCTATCTAATTTGAAGCTCCAGTCTCAGTTCCAGGTAAAACGTTCCAGAGTTGAACTTGTGACTCAAAGAACTCTGAAGATGTAAGATGTTTAAGACAGGGCCTAGCTATGTAGCCAAGGCTGGCCTCAAATGTTTTTTTTTTTAAGCCGATCTCTGCTGATCTCTTAGTTTCTTCCCCAAGAAGCATAACCAGCCTTCTCCTACCTCCGTAAGTTTCAAAATGATTCATGCCCAGACAGTACTTTCAACTCCTCAAACCATGAAGAATTTCTACATCTTCACCATGTCAAATGGTGAACTGTGCATTATTTTACTTTGGACCACTCCGTGACCAGTCATTTCTCTCCAAGTCTCTTTCCTTCTGTTCAGGTAAGTATGGGAAGATATCAATAAATTTGCCAGTGGATGACATACCAGTGTCCCCTTAGAATTACCTTCAGTTTCTCTAGCTGATACTATTGAAGCCTTAGTCACTTAACATGGGACGAGAAAGGGCAAAAGGGGAGGAAAGGAAAAAGACAGGACTCACTGAGAACCCAAGAAGACATGGCTTCCAGGATTCAGAGGTAGGAGACTGTTGAAATTGAGGCCAGAAAAATCAATCGCTGGGGATATAGGTCAATGACAGAGTGCTTTGATCCCTAGCACTACAAAATGGAGGAGGAGGAGGGGAAGGGGAAAGGAAGGATGGGAAGGGGAACAAGGAAGGAAAGGCGGCAGTAGCAACATGGCTTTGGTGAATGGATAATCCTTTCAAGTGTCCCTCCTCTCCTTAAATCTTGGGCTTATGTGGCCAGAGTGTGGAGTTGGAGATTTCTGTGAAAGATCCAATTTTCCCCAACTTTTGGTCCTGGTTAAAGGACTAGATATCTGGCATCAAAAGTCAGCAGTTATTTAGAAGCTTAGATACTTGATCTTTGGTCCCCACTTTGGAATTTACTCTGCATATATATAGGTGGTACAGTGTTACATATTCTTGTATATGTGGTAAATCTACTACACCGTTACATATTCTTACACAGGTGGTACCTTTATCAATCACTGTATTATACTACCAATCACTGTATTACTTTTTTTTTTTTTTTGGTCTTTTTAAGACAGGGTCTCCTTGTAGTCTCAGTTGGCCTGGAACTATGTAGACGAGGCTGGCCTTGACCTCTCAGAGATCCACTTGCCTCTGCCTCGAGTGCTGGGACTAAAGGGCTGTACCACCACACCCAGCACTGTATTACATATTCTTACACAGGTAGTACTCTATTACAGTGTCACATATTCTTCTATAGCTGTAACTTTATTGTAGTCACAGGTACTTATATGGGTAGTAGTTTTATCTATTACAATGTTAGATATATATTTTTAAAACATATTTCACATATATGACTGTATGCCTGCATGTAAGTGTACCCATGCTGTGCAATGCTCAGAGGCCAGAAGAGGGAGTTGGATCCCCTGGAACTGGAGTTATGGATGGTTGTTAGCTGCCATGTAGGTGCTGGGAACCAAACCCAGGACCTCTTCAAGAGCAGCCAGTGTTCTTAACCACTGAGCCATCTCTCCAGCCCACAAAGTTAGATATTTTTGTAGATTCTTAAATATTGTTACTAGGATGGTATTAATTCACATCATTTCCCCCAAGGGATCCCAGTTCACTTTTTATACTTTCATATACATTTCTAAAGCTTGACAGTCACCTGCTTCCAATCATAGGGATATAAAAATATTTCTAGCATATTTTTACCAATTCCATTCATTTAATCACTTATTCATCCCAGGTATTGTAAAAGATGCTGTGAATACAGTAGTGAATAAAATATGTGGTTCTTCCCCTTCTGAAGTTTATCATCATTCAAGATTGTTAAAAAGAAAATGAGCATCAAACAAATACATATACAACTTAAAAAGTGTTATGGAAGAAATAGTAAACATAGTAAAAGAGAATGCCTGTGGGAATTATGAAGGAGGAGGACTAAGAAGGAGACCAACTTAATGTAGCAAGATCTTTTGCCACATGAAGGTTGAGGAGGAGGGTAAATACACAGCAGCACATACATGCCAGAGCCTGAAAGCGGAGGATGTTAGCAAGGAGCTGGAAGGACGTTTCTGAAGTGTCATGGGAAGGGGTATTATGAAAGAGCAGGCACTATTTTGTGACTAGTGGAACATACAGAGCTAGGGAAAGAAACCTGAGCAAAAGAGACAGGAAAAAATTACAAAAAGAAATAGATAAAAAAAAGTGGCCATTGCTGAGTGTGGTCGTGTACTCTTTAATCCCAGCACTTGGGAGGCAGAAGTAGGTGGATCTCTGTGAGATCAAGTCCAGCCTGGTCTACATAGCAAGTTCCAGGCTACATGGGGCTACTGGGAGACCCTCTCAAAAAGTCAAATAAAATAAATAAAATGTGGCAAGTAATTTTACATGGGACATGGGATTTATGTAGCAGGCACTGTCAACAGTTTCCTCTCAGTTACCCAATGAGATGGAACTGTTATCCTCATTTTAGAGATGAAGACATTAATCTGGGAGAAATTGGTTGAAAAGAGAATTGGAAATGTTCAGTTTAAACGTGAGCAAAGCACACAAGGAGTTTAAAGGATACATGATTACATAGTGTTTAAGGAGGTAGTTTAGGGGAATGTTGAAGGTGGAAATGCTATCCAAGTTTTATGCCCTCCCCCCACCCTTAGAGAGAATATGGGGAAAAAGAAGTTGAAAACTGAATCCTGAGAAATATTCAAGCAGGAAAAAGGACTGGGCAGAAAAACAAGTGATTATCAACAGGTTTTGGTAAATAATTAAACACAGAATGTGAGAAAGGGAGGAGTCAGATGTTGTGGTTTGATCTTGGTGACTAAAGGGACAATGAAGTGAAGGGCAAAGGTCATTTTGAAGGTTCTGGAAATGGCAGAATATAAGGAAAGGGGGCTGTTTCTAGCATAAAATCCAAACATCTACCCTAGGAAAAACATCCAATCCCCTTGTCTGGCTGCAATCTACTTTTTCAGTATTATTAACCCTATCAGTTTTCAGGACTCTAAATTGCACGTGGCAGAAAAGTTCTCCCTGGTTTAAGCAATCAAAAACATTCAAGAATTTATTAACTGAAGTTTCCAGACAAATCTAGTTCACAGTGATTTCAGGGGATCAAGCAAATCTCTAGACTAAATCTCCATCTTTGAATTTGCTTTTCTTTTCTTCATGGTGCTTTTTCATTATTCCCACAAGGAAAGGTTTTATTCTTCCAGAGTCAAGTCCATTGGAAGATAGGTAACAAACTCCCCGTCCGACACAGTGTGATGCCTGGACCACAGGGACTGAATGGAGGAAGGGTAAGCTCTTCAAAGGAAATGCATCAGAACAGGAAATGAATTCGGAACAGCAGAAATGTCCACCAAAGTCCCTTCTGCTGTATGATGGTGAAATTAACAAATAATGTTTTTCCTTAAGGAAAAGGCCTCGAGTGAGACAGGGTCTCCTTGTGTAGTTAGGTTAGCCTGGAACCTAACCCCAACATTCACAGTGCTTGGGGAGAATAGGAAAGCGGAAACACACCCGGCTAGAGTCCTTAGTTCTTGTACTCTGAACATACAGCGAGAATTTGAAATGTCTATCAAGGTTAATATTACCTTGGAGAGAGGATTTTTGGAGCTAAAGCAGTACCGGTGTATTTGTTAAAAAGTCTTCTAATTCCGACAGGCTCTTCTGTCCTCCGCAGGCACTGCACGACAGGAGTACACTTACCTACATGCAGGCAATACACGCAAACACATAGACTCTTCTAATTTCATGTCTAAACTCATCCCCCCCCCCAAAGAGAGAAATTAGTAGGAATTAAGACTATGAAGACTTGTTTTCCAGTAATTAAGGAGCACTAGCGAAGAAACCAGTGCAAACTAGGGACCTTGGTGCACCCCTACCGCGCCCATCCCACATTCTCTAGGCATCATTTGGTTTTGACTGCAAACACCCCGGCCCTCCGCTGTTCCCGTTGCGGCCGAGGGCACCCGGGTCGCCCCAGGGTAAGTGGCCACTCTAGCGCGCGCCTCCAGCAGCCGGGGAAACCGAGTCACCGGCGGTCCACGCACCTCCGCAGCGTCCTCCGGGAGAGGACTCCGAGTGTAGCGGCCGCCGCCACCAACACCAACACCCGGAAAGTCTAACCTGGGGTAGGCCAAGCGCTTCGCTTTTCTAGGGATAGAGGGCCCCTCTGCGGCAGGCTGGGAGCGCTTCGTCCATAGGGCTCCCGGCTTCCCGGGTCCCCCTAGTCGCCCCGACCCGAAACCAGCGCTCTCCCGCCGGCCGCACCCTCCCGCCAGGCCCCGCCGCCGGGCTCTCCAGGCCCACGCCATCCCGGCCTGCGCGGGGAAGCGGGCGGCGAGAGATCCCGGCTTCCCTCTGCGGTCGCCGGGCGCGCAGACGCTCGCCTCGGGCCGAATTCCCCCAGGCGTCGGGATCCCATGGCGCGGCGCGGCGCTGCTAACCAGGCAAGTCGCATGCGCACGGAAACGCACCCTGGAAGGCGGCCGCGAGGGGTGGGGCGAGCGCAGAGCGGGGTCTGCGGTGGAGCCCGGGTGCCCAGGACGCATGCGCTGGGAGGGAGCGCAATCACGGACACAGCTTGCGGCGGCTGGTTAGAGAGGAAACCCCGGGCGGCGAGAGCGCAAAGGAAATCTGACCGCCGCCGCGTGCGCGCTCCCGGTGAGTGCTCTCCACCCGGTGGGCCCGACCCGAGCCCGTTGGCCGGCAGGCCTGGGCGGCGCATGCGTGTTCCCGGTGCTGGTGGAGGAGGGGAAGGGCCGGGAGGGGGAGGAGCGCGGCAGTAGCGGTGAATTTTGAGGGGTGGGTGGGGGCGCTCCTGGCCACCGCAGGTGCTGCGGGCGCTGGCAGCCTCAGCGTTCCTGGGCCGTCGCTGCTCCGCGGTACTGAGTCTCCGCTGCCAGAGTCCCGGGTCGGGGAGGAAGGAAGCCGGACCTCCGGTGGTCCCACGGTGAGGGCGCAGGCGGGCGCGGGGGGCGGTGTGTGGGGCCAGGGGCGGGTGCAGGGTCTGGAGGCGGGAGTTGCGGTCGGGGTCGGCGGCCGGCAGCGGCTGGGAGCTTCCAGGGAGGAGGGCGGAAGCCGGCGGCCGGTGGGCCGCTGGGCCGCCGGCGTTACCTGCTGGGTAGGGGCGGACTAGGGGGCCTGGCGGGGCCCTGCGGCCGCGGCACGCCGGAGCTGCTGCCCGCTCCTGACATGGCTGCGGGGCAGGCCGGACCGCCCGCCTGGAGCGCTGGCGCCCGGGACCCGCTAGGCCTTGTGACCCACTTTATTCCTGTCACCGCTTGGGCACGTTTGGATCGGCGCCCAATGGGGCGCTGGGGCGGCCAGCTCCTCCGGGGAGCCCCCGCCCTTGGCGGCCTGCGCGCTGCGCTCCTTGGTCCGAGCGGACCCCGCCGCGGCCCAGTGTGGTTCCTTTAATGGTCGTGGTTCCGGGGCTCCGTCCCGGGAGCTAGTAGCTGGCGCGGGGCCGCGGGTCCTGGTCCCTTTCCGCCCGCGGAGCTGGCTGCCCTGGACGTGGTCCTGCTTCTCCCAGCCCCGGCGAGGACTCACCCGCAGGCAGCGCCAGAGTTTATATTCTTGAGAGTGGTTTTTGCAGCCGTAGAAAGTCGTCCTGTTGAATAGTCAGCAAAATCCTGAAAGATAAAAAGCCTTGGCCTCAGACATGGTAGAGGACAGATCAAATCAAGTTGTTTCTTGATATTAGAACGCCATGCTATGTAACTTTAAGGCTTCGTAGCCGTCTTTAAACAGCCGCAACAAAATGTTGTTTTCTTTTACAGTGAAAGAAAAGCACAAAGAAGAAACTTTTACAGTCACTGTTAATTTGTCTAGAGCACCAATACCCTAAATCAAAGTAAAGGTAATTTCCCTTGATTGCATTCTTGTTTGTAGCTCTAAGTGATGAGAGGAGAAAATAGAGGAACATCTCCCCATACCTGATTGGGGAAAAAAAAAAATTCTGAAAAGGATGTAACTTAGCTGACTTGCTGTCTCTGAAACAATTCAAATCTGGTTTGTTTTAAAATCTTAGTGGGAAGAAATTATGTGCTAAGTACGTTACCGCCATTAAAGGTTGAAGAAGGTAGACTTAAAATGTGATAGAATTAGCCATGGTCATCTGTGAAAAATGGCTGAGGAAACTTTCTGTGCGCTGATAAGGAAAGATATTAAAGCTCTGTCATGGAGTGATAAAAGCCAAGTGGAGGGCAGTGTGCTGCTTTATGTGTGAAGGGGGAGTGTACTAACAATGTAAAATCTATATATGCTCGTCTCTGTGTAAAGAAACCCTAGGATAATACTGGAATATTGGAAAAACCAATAATCATGGGAAAGGGAGAAGTGGTCTGATGAAGGGTAGGGAGGGAAATATATTAGGCATTGTTCATAGTCTGTATTCTTGACTAGTTTGTGGATTCATAAGCATAAATTCATTTGTTTAAAATAGTTTATATGATATTGATTGCTTAATTTGTGAGGATTTTTGGCCATTTGCAGTGTTATTTTCCATTAAGAGAATAAGCTAAACTGACAAACTAGGATAAATTTGGTGGCTATATATATTTTAAGATATCGATATCACAAATTCAAGTTTTTAAAGATTGTTATTTGCCTTGCTGACATTTAGTGATACTGTTTACACTTGGCATAATGGTTGAATTATACTACTTTCACAGTGTAGTATCTTTTTATTTTTTTTTAAGGGACTACAGTTCATAAAAAGTTCTTTTATTGATCCCCTCCCTCAAAGTTTGGACACTGTATTCACAATGATAATAATCTTCATTGTCTAGGTTAATACTCTTTCCTGGTTGGGAAACTTTTCTTTACTTTGAAGAAGTTGTACATGAGCCCCACTGAAATCTGTATATCTGAAAATGTGTGTACGTAGTTATTTCTTATGAAAAATAAGGCAGTATTGATGTGAAAAACTAAAACATTTTTATGATTACAGATTGTGGTAAACCTATACTATTATTATTATTATTATTATTATTATTATTATTATTTTAGTTCAGTTACCCTAGCCTTTTCCACAAGATTAAGATTGAAAATGGTGTGAGAGTGAATATAATTTTAGGGAGAGAATACTAAAAACTCCCTCTAGTGACTAATAATTGTATAACCAAAGTAGCTAATAGTGGGTAACAGTTGCTCTAGGCATTTTTATTAATGGCACAAGTCTTTTATAAATGTTACCAGTTTTTATTTTGAAGGCCAGAATATTTGTGTTGTTTCTGTTATGATGTGAAGGTGTATAGAAGCCATGCAGAAAGACATTTAGTTTTCATTTGAACTGTGCATATAGATATATTCAGTCTTCTTAGCCTGAGCTGGCCTTAAACTCATGAAAGTCCTCTTGACTCAGCTACCTGAGTGCTAGGATTACAAATGTATGTCACCTAACCCAGGACTCATTTCCACTTACATGTCATATCTTTCTCTGACAATAACTGCTATTAATACTTTGACTTTCTATTTTCTATGGATTTATAAATACATATTTTTCAGTTCTTGGGTGTTTTTTTTTTTTTTTTTTTTTTTTTTTTGACAGGGTCTTCCTGTAGCCCCAGCTGGCCTGGGACTCACTGTTTAGAACAGGTTGACCTCAATCTCACAAAGATTCACCTACCTCTGCCTCCCAAGTGCTAGGACTAAAGGAATAGGTATGCACCACCACATCCAGCTGTCTTTTTCAGTTTTAAAAACTAAATTGTTGTGTTGGTTTTGTTTGTTTATGGTGGTTTATTTTGTTTTTGAGAGAGTTTTGCCTTGTTGCCCAGGCTGTCCTGGAAGTAGAGACCCTCCTGCCTCAAACCTCTGTAGAGTACTGGGATTTAGAGGTGTGCAGCACTGTGGTTGGCTAATTATAGAGTTCCTAAGTGATTGCTCTGCCAGTTTTCCTCTTCTGTGGACTTTTTCCTTCTTCTTTTTCTACTTATAAGATGGGAAATGACCTGTAGTATGTTAGGAAGTTTAAACTTTAGGACACAAATCTATGTGTTTTGTTTTTCCCGTTATTGAGGTACCAGTTAGTGTGGAGACATTTACAATTTGCAGGGAGGTCAAACTGATGTGAACTCAGCATGGAGAATACGTTTTCAGATTTTTTTTTTTTTTCATGTGACTCTTTTGGGCCCAAATTGTAGGATCTTCTCTGGCTTTAAGTCCTGGGATTTAGGCTTAACTGATAACATAATATTCTGTATCCCCACAACTCTCTGAGAACACTACCTTGCTAGTTCCAAAGGATTTTTGTTTTTTCTTAAAAACCAAGCTATAAAGAATGTCTAAGACATGATATTTTTCTTTTAAGTGATAGAGTTTGCAGAAAATTCAAGTACTATGGTGACTGCTTTTAAGGTATATAGTTGAGTTCAGTGAATTTGAACCCTGAGGTGAAAAGAATATGTTAAGTTCATATTAGCTATAGTAAAAAGCAGGAAATGTCAGATTTTAGAAGAAAATTCTTTGAAGTTTTAAAGGGTGAAACGTTCCATCATTTTGTTTTGTGGGTATGGGGTTTTGAGGGAGAATATTTATCACACTCTTTTAACTAGTTAAATAAAAGAGAGAACAAAAGGATTTAGAATCCTCAGACTCAATTCTTAACATTAAAAGCAAAGGTGCAGTAGCTATCTATGACAGTGATAGCTATTTTAATCTCTGTAGTTTGAAGCTTGCCTACTGGAAAGAGCTTTTTGCTGTTTTATTTAATAATTATAAATTATGTATTTCAGGATTTTTACAAATATGAAACTGAGGAGTTTAATTGTGAATTAACTGTTGTCCAATAATAAAAGCAAATTGTTTCTTCCTCTCATTCTTTCCTCAGAGCAACTTATTAAAGACCTCCTCACACACTTCTGTGAATGCTTTAATAACACAACAATATTGTAATATTGTGGGGAGAAAATCAACAGTTACAACAGCAAAACCTTTTTTTGTGTCTGTTTACTTACAGCATTTGCAGATGCATGAAGTAAAATAGCTTTTTTTGAAATGTACTTTTCTTGTAGGTACTACACATGAACACCAAATTTCCCTTTTTCTGAGACTTAAATTGTGGATAGAGTTTTATGAATTATTTGCATAACACGTATCAAAGCAATTTAATTCACTAATTGACTTAATTATATAATGGCATTTATAAATTGCTTTACAACCTTTGTTAATAGCCCTGGTATGTGTAATTTCCATGAATTAAGTGCATAAAGAAATTTTGTTTTATCCATGCTGTTGATTCTGCAACTGTTACATTACTTAAACTCATCCTCACAATTTCAATTCTGTAATTACTTGTATTATTAACAAATAATTCTACTTATTAAGTCATATCAGTCTGCAAAGAGAAGTCACTTGTAAAGTGAATTTTGTGAATTGCTTTTGATTTTTTTTTTTGTAATTATTTATATTGTGGATTGGGGGAGGTGTGTGTGGAGGTCTGAGGACAACTTGTGGGAGTTGATTCTGTCCCTCAACCACATGGGTTCCAGGGATTGAACTCAGGTGTTCAAATTTGGTGGAAAGCATCTTCACCTACTGAGCCAGCATGCTGGTCTTCTTGGTTTTATAGTATACAGTTTCAGATATGATTTACTTTTTATTTTTCAGAAACATTTTTATTTCTCCATTAAGAAAATAAAATGTTAATTCAAAAATTTCCCACTTTTTAAGAGTTTTTGTTTTAATCAGATACTTAAATTTTTAATTTTCATCATGCTGAAAAACAAAAATACAGGTTGATTCCTTTTAGTTGTTGTTGTTAGTGGTAGTGTTTGACTTTTTGAAACAGGGTCTTGATATGTAGCCCAGGCTGGCCTTGGACTTTATCATCATCCTGCTTCCTCTCAACTTCCCCCGGAACTGGGATTACAGGTATATGCCACTATTACCTAGCTTCAAAGATTTTTGTATTTAGAAAAGAGGAAAGCACAAATGGGAGTTGTACCTGAAGGTTAAGCCATTTGCCTAGCTAAGAATTTATTGTTTATATTAAAATATGATTGATTGTTAAGTAGTTGACTTTCTTAATCTTCAACCCTCAGTTATAACAGTAACACATCCCAGTATAGGGAATCTGGGAATCTCAAAAAAAGCACACATTAAGGATTTAAAATACCATTAGAAATCTGTCATCAAGTGTAGCCATTGTTAGTCTTTTGCAGTACTTTTTTCATCCATTCTACTTAGCCATTATATTAGTATATGCACTCTTAAAGACACATGATGGTCTAGATTGGTCATGCATCCACTGTAGTACCAGCTGTTCTGTTCATCTAACAGTGACTTGTCAACATATTTTCCTGTCATTTTTTTCTGCAGTGTTACAATTTTTAATAGCTATGTTTATTTTCATCTATTTTTGTAATTATCACTTGTTGGACATTTGTTTTAATGTTTAAGATAATGTGAGGGAATTTCAGCTTGAGAAAATTTTGATAGTGTTTAGAAGAATTAGAATTCAAGTAGATTACTTAATTTGTATTGATAACCAGATTAAAGAGATTTTTTTTTGTATTTTGTTGGAAAAATATGCCATAATGTGTGTGATAAATTATGTGTTGATGATTGATAATAATGAAAATCCAAGATTTTTATGATGGTGTATTTTCTTTCTAAATTATGTTTTGCTTTAAAATTCATTTAACTGTGTATTTCATGAGCATAAATAATTTGGATAGTAATGTGCTTTTACAAACCTAAGTAGCATGACAATCTGTGAAGTAGTCTGCATGTACAATTAAAATTTATCTGTAACGTTTTTCACAATGGTCTAAATTCATTGGAGAATTTTAAGACTTTTTCTTTGTATATTGATGTATGTTATAGTGTTTTTGTTGTTTGCTTTTTTCTGTAGTT